ACAGCTGTCAGCTCAGTCATGTCATTACCTTCCATCATTTCTCTCTTGCCCTCTCTCTTGTCATTAGACTGTTTTCTTCAAGGAGTAGGATTGCAAATATTCATTGTGTTTCCCTAGCACTTAGGTGTCTTAAACAAACATATTTAAAAGTTTATTAAATGAGTAAGTGGACAGTCCACATTTTATGCCTTTGATCATAGTTATAGGCCTTCTTGACTTGAAAGGAATTATGCAGAACCTCTCCTTTTTTCCATGTGTTCATTGCAAATAGCTTGTAGAGATTGAGCTCAGAAAAACCTGAGAGTCATTACAGTGATGTGAACTAAAAATAGTGAATAATACCTAATGTAGAAAGGAAGTGTATTTCATTATCAAGAACAGAGCCTCAGAGACAGATCACAGAATTGACATTTCATCATTATGCAGTGGCATACATTATATGACCTCTTATTTGTCCCTGAGCTCCAACAGCCACTTCAAGGCTGACAGAGAATAGTGGTGGGAGGGAGAACAGATGACACAAAAAGAAAAGGAGGTTTATGGTAGGATCAGTATAGTGCTTTGGGCTCATCACACAGACCAGATGGCAACAGTTCCTTTCTCAGCAAGTTACAATGCCCTGCAGGTGTAAAAAAACATTCACTGTCAACTTCCTCTACTAATATTTTTTAATACTGTGGCCACATCCAAATATGGCTGAAAACACACACAATCTCTCAATATAAAGGGGGGGGGGGTTTGCTTCTAAATATTTGCTGTCAAAAGAAAAAATCCTTTCCTAAGAAATCTGTCACTCAACAGACAACCTTGGCTTCTGAAAATCTGCATGTCCCCATCCCTCTCTTAAAATGAGCCTTCATTTTACTCTATTTTGTCACGGTTTTGCAAAAGCCAGGAAAATGTGTGAGAAATTACTGGCTTTAGCTTTGCTGAAGTTAAATGCTTACAATTGCTAATTCTATAGAAATGTGTCTACTCCTAATGTTTTCATAAATAGTGTACACACGAATTCAATTATCGCCTCCACTTTCCATAGCTCCAAAGAAACCGTCCTGGTGTATAAGACAAACGGAAGCAAACCTTCTCTGGTTTCACTAATTCCAATAAAAAGTATAATTTGATGACAATTTTTCTTCAATAGTTGAGACCCTTCTCACAAACTACAATTCAGCTGCCCTAACTATAACAAGAAAAATGTAAGTTTTTTTAAAAAAGATTTATTTATGGGCCTCCCCAGTGGTGCAGCAGGTTGGACGCAGCACTGTAAATGCTGTCTGCAGCCTCCGCAGTGCCAGTTGGATTCCCAGCCGGCCAGAGAGATACCCACATGTTGCGGCAGACCTCCCCTGTCTTGCCCACTGCTCCCCTCAGCAGTGTTTTCCGTCCATCTGCCTGTTCTGCTCCCCGCTCTGTCTCTGGTGAATCCTCTCACCCTCCCATGCCTCTGGCCTTACCAGGGTTCTTGTATAAATACATCTTTAAAAAAAAGATTTATTCATGCATACAAGAACTGGGGTACAGGTGCGGGGGGCGAGAGGATTCACCAGAGTGGGGAGCAGAACAGGCAGATCTACAGAAATCCACTGCTGAGGGGAGCAGCCGGCGAGTGAGGAGAGGTCTGCTGCGCCATGTGGTCACCTCCCTGGCCAGGGATCGAACTTGTGCTGCAGTGGCTGCGGACAGCTTCATAGTGATGAGACTTAACCCCTTGTGCCTCCAGGGAGGCCCCAGAAAAATGTCTTAATCCCATAAACAAACCTTTACAAAGTTCCCCCAGGGAACCATTCTTTCATACTAGGAGAAGGAAAAAAATTCTACGTTTGTTAAAATACAACCTACGTTCCAGGCGTGTTAAACCAGGCGTGTTAAACCAGGTGTGTTAAACCCCATCAACACTTTTCGTGCCCCGAGAGTTCCGGGGTCTCTCAGCGGGGGCTGCCCCGACGCCTCCCGCAGGCCCTTGGGTGCCGCGGGCTCAACTATTAAGACGCGCGGCGGCGGCAGCCCGGCTCGAGGGCCGGGGAAGGCGGGCGCGGAGTGACGGGCTATGTCCCGGGGGCAGACGCGGAGCGACAGGACAAAGGTCCCCCCAGCGCGGACGGGGCCGGGCCGGGCCGGGCCGCCCGAGGAAGCCGCGGAGGCCGCGCCGCCCGGAGACCCGAGCGGGGGCCGCGGCGCGCCGGTGGCGTCACGAGCGCGGGAAGGAAGGTCAGTGTGTGACATTGAATTGGAAACACAGACGCCCCGTAAATCGTCCCGAGGGGCCGCAAAATGCAAAACAGCGAACGCGAGAGGAGGGTGATGGGGACCCCACGTTCCCCGCCCGGCGGGCCCGGAAGAGAAGGGGCGCTTGGCCTCCGCGCATGCGCAGCCTGGCGGCCTCCGGCGCGGCGCCGCGGGGTCACGTGGCCGCGGTTGCGGCATTTCCGGCCCAATCGCAGGCGCCGGGGGCGCGCCCCTGCCACGCGACGCGGGGAGCCCTGCGCGCCGGAGCGCTGACCTCGCTTTACGCCTCGCCGTGCGCCCGGCGGCTCAGCCCGGGGCGCGCTCCGAAGTGGGGCGCGTTTTGTTTCCCTGAACCCGCGTGCGGGCTCGCTGGCCTCGCGTCCCGTCTCCCCAGACGCGCAAACCCGCGTCCCCCCGTTGGAGACGCCGGCGGCGGGGGGGGCGCCTGGACGGCCGGGGCGGGGCGGGGGCGCCGCTCCCGGGCCTGGCGCGCAGGAGTCGCCTCGCAAACGCGCCCCGCAGCGTGTCGCCTGCGCCTCCAGGGGCGGCGCGGGGCCCGCGGCGCGCGGAGTCGGAGCCCCGAGGCCCGGAGACGGATCCCGGCGGGCGCCCGGCGTGGCCAGAGCCGCGGGAAAGCGGAAGGACGGCGGCCGCCCCAGTCCGCTCCCGCCCCCCGCGACGGCGCGCTCGGGGCGGGCGAGTCACGTGCCCAACGGGGCCGAGCAAAAAAGGGCGGCGCCCCCACAGGCCCCGGTGCAGGAGAAGTAAAGCCTCGCCGGAGGCCTGTGCGCAGTGTCCCTCCCTACGAACAGATCCTCCACGGGGCAGCTGGGAGTCGGCTCCCGGAAAGGTGGGGTGAGGGGAGGACGCCGGGGCGTCCCCCGCCCCGTCCCCGGACCCCGCTGTGCTCCTGGGGCGCTGCCTTGGGCCTCTGGTTCTTAAAACAGGTGCAGTTCCTGCCCCTGCGCTTCGCTCCCCCGCGCGGGGCACACTGACTCCTCGGTGCCAGGAGCCTGGGCTGGGGAGAAGATGCCAAGAGACCCACTAAGCGAGCTCTGGGGCCGGGGAGGGAGTCTGCCCAGGAAAAGTGGCAGCTTAAGTGGCGAGCAGAGGCATGACCTTCAGCGCAAGGCGGTCCGAGTGTTTACTTTTTGAAAAAGATTTATTTATGCATACGAGAGCTGGGGTGCAGGCCGGGGGTGGGGGTGTGAGGATTCACCAGAGAGCTTGGGGAGCTGTAGAACAGGTGGTTCTACTGAAATACACTGCTGAGGGGAGCAGCGGGGAGACAGGAGAGTCTGCTGCGCCATGTGGGTGGCTGGTCTGGGAATCGAACTCGTGCGGCAGTGGCTGACAACAGCTTGATAGTGTTCTAACGCCTGCGCCACCAGGGAGGCCCCTGGTCTGAGTATTTAAAGAGGCGGTCGGTGTTGGTACTTCTCAAACAGTGAGAAAGGGCAGTTCTGACCAGTGTCTGTGTGAAGCCGGTGGCCCGTAGACCACACTGCAGGTGTGTCAGGTGATCAGGTCCAGTGATGCGTCGGCAAAAATTTAAATTATTTGTAGATAATTCATAAAATTCATAAAATTGAAATCATATACCTGTTTGTTAATCACATGGTGTTCTGGCTCAAACCTGCATCCGTGCCAGAACCACCAAGACAAGTGGGTAGATGTATATGAAATAAGTATTTTATGAGCGTATAATGGCCTTTTAAAGATTCACCTGGAAATCAACTCATTTTGTAATATCCATTTTGTGGCATAACCTGTTTTCCTTCAAGTTAGGGTTGTTCTGTAGACTAGTAACATAAGTAGCTGCCTCAGGCCAGATTACCCAAGCCAGGCTCTTGCTGCTTGAGACTGATTAGTACATGAAAAAGGAATGCAGTGGTAGAACGCTATTATTAAGCAACAGCTGCAGAGTATCCAGTGCTAGGAACTGGGGAAATTTTCAGCAACTTAAGTCACATGTTGTAAAGCCTCTTTAAAATACAGAAGGGGGGTGGGAAATAAAATACAGACTAAGAAATAAACAATACTTGAAAGTGTTTTCAAGTCTTTCATAGAACTGATTGTTCCATTATCTGACACCTCCACTAAAATCTTTTAGTGTAGTTCCACCATTTTCTTTAACCAAATAGGAAGTCTTCATTTTTTAAAGACAAAAAAAAAAAACATTAATTTCAACAATCCCTTGAGTTGAAATATGCATCAGTATTTTCCACCCCTCAGGAAGCAGAGTTCCACGATTAAAACAACCATTTCAATATTAAACAGTAAAGTGATCACAAAACATTACTAAATATACTTGTGCCTTGACTTCACAAGACATTCCAGAGCTGTCTACAGGTGAAACATTTTAAAAATCACTTACACGGGAAAACCAAGAGAGAACAAAAAGGTTAACCCACAATATCATATTGTAAGTTGGGAAGTTTGGACTCATTTTAGAAAACTTATCAATGCACAATAGTTTTATAATCATTGTAGTTAAGAGTTCCTTCAACTGTCATTTCCAATCAAAACAAGAAAATACTAGCTCAATTTGAAATTCGGAATGGGCAATAAAGAAAGAATTGAGAATTTTTTCTTAGGAGTCACTGAGGCACATGATGAGTTAAACTATTTGATGATGATGTCTCATCTCATAGCCAAGTATTTAGGTGAGTTTAGGTGAATTCTTTCAAGTTGTGTCTCAGTTTTTAAAGACCTTTAAAGCCCCTAATGGTACCTTCAGAAAGTAAATGTGATACAATGAAACTAATCGTTAACAACAAATCTTCAATTTATTTGAAGCAATTTGGTTTCAAAAATGTTAAGTTACAGCAGTCACAGAAAAAAAAAAAAACAACACAGGGAACAGTCAGAAACAAAAGAATAATCGTGAGTACTGTGTTTCTTTGTTTTTTAACACTGTCATGGCTTTATTCAAAACACAGTTGCACAAAAGTATTAACTTCAAAGATCTTTTAAGGAGTTTTGAGGAATTTAACACACTATATACATACTGCCATACAAAGAGCATTAAAATAGGACCAAAAACTTCTACAAAATATAAAACCCACCCTTACTTATTTGCATGAAAATACCGCCCACAAAGCTAAATAAGTCTAAAAAGTTATCAGGAGGCTCTAAGTGTTGTTTTCAAAGCAAAGAACCCTAATTGTGATTGCACAAGATGATTGATAAGAAAGCCAATATATTGATTTCATTCTAAAAATAACTCTTTCATAATCTGGCATAGAGTAAAATGAGAATTCGTAGGACTAAAACAGAGTACTTCAATTGTTAAAAAGGAATAAAATGTTAGCCTTTGGAGATTCCAATTCTCCGACTAAATTTATCCCAAGAGTTTTATTTCAGTCAGTTGTTTTTAAGTTTATGCACAACTAACCACCTAATTTTTACTTTAAAACCCCAAGTCATAAATTGTAAACTATTAAAGAAGCAGTCCTGCGTTCAGTAATTTAAACTGTCCCAGTATGGAAGTGTAATTTCAATTAATTTGCTGACATTAACTTTGAAAAAGCTTTTATTCTAAACAAGGGGGGAGGGGAGAGCTCTAGATAGCCAAGATTAAAAAAAAACAATTGCCTTGAACATGGAGCCTCCACAACAAAAATGAAGATGTACTCAGCTAGTTATTATAGATATTTAGTAGCCATATAGGGAAACACACACTCGCACTTATTCCAAATACCTTTCTAGTTTTACTGGCTGGACCTGAAAACAAATCTTCATTTAATATTGATTTAGTTTCCAATATTTTTCCAACTGCTCAGTATCTGGTAATGTTTTTAAACTACAGGAAGAATTAAAGGTTCTACACAGAAAAATTAGATATAGTTTGCAGAGTGGTATCTAAATCATTTGGGAAGCCAACTTTAAAATTTCACTTGAGCAACTCATTACCAACAGGCAATTAACTGTTCTGACTTTTGAGGAACACTAATGCTGCTTCCAAAAGCCTCCTCTGCTTCTTTAAATTCTTTATCCTAATACAGTCTGTACATGTCATTAGCCAAGGAAAAGATTTCCAGTAAGCAGTCTGCTGCATAAAACTGTGCTGATAGCAATATATGTATTTCAGAAAATACTCAATTTCATTCACCTAGCTTGTTTAAAACTGAGACAGGTCTGAAAAGGTGGTTGAGGTATAAGACAAAAGGTTTTCCTGGGTATCCAAGTTTTTCAACTTTTCTGAGATAGAGGGAGAGGAGTGAAAGAAAAAAAGGAAAGTGATGATAAAGGGACCGTTGAGAAGAAAAGGAAGACTACACACTTAAACAACAACAAAACAAAACAAACCGTTGGCATGTCATGATCTTCAGCTTGCAGAAAGGGTTCCCCTGCATGTCTCTGAACTTATTAGTATAAGCAATTTTTCCTTCAAAAATAGAATCTTATTAGTCACCTGGCTTAAAGGTTTCAGATGCTCCAACAAAATCTATGAACTACATTACTGAACAGAACCTTTACTATCTGTTCTGCCCCTACTTTGCAAGTTATGACAAAAAGCACCCAAACACCCTTAGCCACACACACACAAAAATCGTTGCTTCAAACTAAAGCTCTCTGGGTCATCTCTAAAACAAAATAGTCATCGAGTTACCATTCAAGAGACTGCTCATTTCAAATTCCAGCGACTAGGATCTCAGTTAATGTATAAATAACTTTTAAACCTTATCAAGGAAATGCACCATACTACACCTGTGAAAAAAGCGATCTTTGTTTTTTTTTTTTTAAATTCTGGGCTAAACATGACTAATACAGTTAGCTTGAATTAGAAAAATTAAGATTCTAAATAAATTGCTAGAGAATTTCACAATGAAGTCAATGAAAAATTTCCTCTACATATAATGTGATCAGTAACAGACTAGTAAATCTTATTTGGAATGATAAGGCAAAAATAGTAAAACCACACTTTTTCCTATAAAAAGTTACACGTTATCTTCTGTGGGGATGGCCATCTTACATGAAGAAACAGAGAAGATGTGATCACTCCATTGCACACCCAGGACATGAGGGAGTCTGGTCTTAGAATGATCTAGTCATCTTCTTCCTCACCATCATCTTCAGCCTCTCGTTTCCTCTTTTCCCCTCGAAGACCTTCTTCTTCTAAAAGACGAGTGGAAGGAAAATTGTAAGATACTTAATCTTAACAAATGGATGTTGGTTAAGTTACAAAGTTTTGGACTATTTTAATGAAAAGCTAATGGCCTAGGAAAATTTTAAGTTGTTTCCTCTCAACTTCAGTGTATGGAACAGACTTAAAATCCATAAATTGCGACAGCTTGCTATGCACCCTTGTGGACAAATCATGAAGCACAGGTCAGGAAACTAAGGGCTTGACATTAACAGTGTGGTTAGTGAATTTTAAAAATTAAAGACTTAGATAATGAATACCATGGAGAAAAATCTAAGAGCATTATCTAGAGCTTAGATAAAAATACTCTGTAGATAAGGCTTCACAAACTCCAAATAAAAGACGATAAAAAAATTAATGGAGCTCAAGGGTCCATTATCTCTTCATTCTTTCGAAAATAAGTGTTATAAGTATTTGTTTCATGGAATTAATGAATGCCTGAGAAAATTGCTTTAATAAAAAATTTTCTACCTCTTAAAGAATTCAATGAAATGATTCCAAATCACAGAAATCTATAGTAATTTGAGTAACATACTCATTTTTTAAAAAGTCCATGAATAATATCAGTACCTTGAACTTTAGTTTTGTAATGGCTAATGTTACTCACCCTCATCTTCCTCTTCTTCCCCTTCTTCAACATAGTCATCATCATCGTCTTCATCCTTGAAATTCAAATATTCAGTTTGAGAATTAATAAGTCATGATATGGATTTTTCACTGTTTAATAATAGTACTTTCCAGCAACACCAAAAAAGACTATGGTTATTCTGTGTTCTGACAACCTCTGCCTAGCTACATTTCTTCTTTTTAAAAACCCAACGAAATCTAGTTTCTTCTGAAAATAACTTATATTTTATTTAGACTGGCACTATTCAAAACTTTCAATAACATGGAAATGTTCTATATCTACACAGTAACCACTCAACACATGTGGCTATTGAGCCTTTGAAATGTGACCAGTGCAAGTGAGAGACAGAATTTTTCATTTCATTTTAATTTTTTATTTTTTTTTTAAAGATTTATTTTTATTTATTTATACAAGCACTGGGTACAGTCAGAAGCACGGGAGGGTGAGAGAATTCACCAGAGCCAGAGCGGGGAGCAGAGCAGGCAGAAGGACCGAAGTACACTGCTGAGGGGAGCAGCGGGCGGCAGGAGAGGTCTGCTCGCCATGTGGGACCCTCCTCCGGGGGCCGGGGAGCAGCCGGGGAGCAGCCGGGGAGCAGCCGGGGATCGAACTGGCGCTGCAGAGGCTGCAGGCAGCTTCGCAACCCAGTGCTCAACCGCTGCGCCACCGGGGAGGCCCTAATTAATTTTTTAAAAGATTTATTTATTTATTTATACAAGCACTGGGTACTGTCAGAAGCGTGGGAGGGTGAGAGAATTCACCAGAGCCAGAGCGGGGAACAGAACAGGCAGACTGATGAAATACACTGCTGAGGGGAGCAGCGGGCGCGGCAGGAAAAGTCTGCGCACCATGTGGGACCCTCGCTGGCAGCCGGGGATCAAACCAGTGCTGTAGAAGCTGCCAGCAGCTTCACAGCCCAGCACTCAACTGCTGCGCCACCAGGGAGGCCCCATTTTAATTAATTTAAATAGACACTGTGCCCAGTGGCTACCATAACGGACAAAGCAACTTCCTTCCATTTCAAAGACAGTCTTCTATTTTACAGCTTGAGGAAGGAATTACCTGAATTCTATCCCCAAACACAAGTTATATGCACCAAAAAAGTCACTCAGTCTGTCTGGACCTCAGTTTTCCAATCAATAAAAAGAACTCATCTAGAAGGATCTCTAAGTTCCTTCTATTCTATTTTTTTAAACTTACTTTTTTAAAGATTATTTATGAATACAAGAACTGGGGTACAAGCCAGAGGTGTGGGGGGTGAGAGGATTCACCAGAAACAGAGTGGGGAACAGAACAGGCAGATTGACTGAAATGCACTGCTGAGGAGTAGCGGGGAGACAGGAGAGGTCTGCTATGCCAATTGGGTCAGCTCCCTGGCCAGGGATCGAACTCGTGCTGCAGTGGCTGCCATAGCTTGATAGCGCTATCTTTAAAACGTGCGCCACCAGGGAGGCCCAGTTCCATCTATTCTAAAACTCTACACATCAAAATAGCTAATGTCAATAAAACTCACAAGCTTGATCTACAACTATGTTGTGGACTGAGTTGCTGTGGATTGCTAAGATTTTCCACATAGCCTTGAAACACTGTAACTTTTTTTTTTTTACTATAGCCAAATGGGATACAAATCTCTTCCAAGCACTGCATACTCCTTGACCGTTTTATGTTAAGTCTAACAAACATTTTTCTTAAATGATCATAATCACCATATCTTGATAATAAACTTTAATTAGTATATGCCTCAGACAACTCTAGGGTCTCGCCTTCAGTCCACAAGTTTACTGCTTCATAAAAACTTAAAGTAGCTGGGGGCCTCCCCGATGGCGCAGCGGTTGAGCGCTGGGTTGAGAAGCTGCCCGCAGCCTCCGCAGCGCCGGCTCGATCCCCGGCCACCGGGCGAGGGTCCCATATGGCGCACAGATCTCTCCTGCTGTGCCCGCTGCGCCCCTCAGCAGTGTATTTCATCAGTTTGCCTGTTCTGCTCCCCGCTCTGGCTCTGGTGAATCCTCTTACCCTCCTGCACTTCTGACTGTACCCAGTGCTTGTATAAATAATTAATTAAAAAAGAAAAACCTCTAAGTAGCTGAATAGTTAAGGAAAACTTGGTCAACCTTCCCCTTTTCACAATATCCACAGTCCCAGTTGTGTGTAGTAATGCTAAACAGAACCTAATTTTCCAGCATTTAGCTAGACACCCCCAAGAAACTAAACTGCCTGGCAATTTTATCACAAACCATTCTTTTTTTTTTTAATAGAGGCATGTTTTATTTATTTATTTGTTTGTTTGTTTTGTTTATACAAGCACTGGGTACAGTCAGAAGCGCGGGAGGGTGAGAGAATTCACCAGAGCCAGAGCGGGGAGCAGAGCAGGCAGAAGGACCTAAGTACACTGCTGAGGGGAGCAGCGGGCGGCAGGAGAGGTCTGCGCGCCATGTGGGACCCTCCTCTGGTGGCCGGGGAGCAGCAGGGGATCAAACCAGCGCCGTAGAGGCTGCAGCTTCGCTCAACCTCAACCGCTGCGCCACCGGGGAGGCCCTCACAAACCATTCTTACACAATCAATCCAAACACTGTAAAGCCTTCCTCACCAGACTATTGAGCACATCAGAGAAGGAACAGATGGGTAGAACGGGACAAAAAGGAACCTCAATAACAATCAGGAAAACCCGCAGCTATAAAAGCTGAACAGGAAGGAAGAGGGAGAGAAGTGAGGGGGGTGGAAAGGGAGCGGAAAGACAGGGAAGGAGGAGATTTTAAACCTCTCGAATCTGCGAGGAATGGTAAATGAGGATATTTAAGTAATTACCAATTTTTAAAACACTCGCGCTATGAATCACATTTATTCCTTAATAATTTAGAAAAGCCCTAGTGCAAAAGGCAAATTACCTGTATGGATTTTGTTCTCAACAAAATATAATTAAATTGATTCAAAGCTTGTTAACTTTTTCAATATCTATTAGATAACATCTCTCAGTAAACACTCAGCTTCCACCCTAGAATTGCTCAGTAGAGACGATGGTCTTTTCCTAATTAGTGGGAAATAAAAATGTTTCCTTATTTGTACTATGAATAGACAAACAGCACAAGACCACCTTAATCCTCGATTCTTCTAAAGTTCGCATCTCCATTTTAAAAGAAATATACTACATATACATGAAACCTTCTTTATACACATTAATTCCTTACCTCTGAAGAGTAACTGAAATAAAATAAACTCAAATAAGAATTAATCAAATTCCATTTCTATTTCTTTAAGACTTTCTTTCAAGGGCCTCCCGGGTGGCACAAGGGGTTAAGTCTCAGCACTATGGAGCTATCCTCAGCCACAGCAGACCCCCCCCCCCAACTCCCCGCTGCTCCCCTCAGCAGTGTGTTTCAGTCAGTCTGCCTGTTCTGCTCCCCCTCTGTCTCTGGTGAATCCTCTCAATCCCCCATCCTCCACCCCTGGCCTGCACCCCAGCAAGAATGGATGGGGTAGCATCCATAAATAAAATCTTTAAAAAAATTTTTGCCTTAAAATTGAGGTATAACTGACATGTATTAGTTTTAGCTCTATAATATTCTGCGTTTATGTATATTGCAAAATGATCACTGTAATAAATCCAGTTAACATCCATCCCCATACAGAGTTACCAGAACATTTTTTTCTTGATTCTTTGTCATGAGGAATTTTTAAATTTACTCAGCAACTTCCCAGTATACAATATTCTAAACTACGGTCACCCTGCCCACATCACATCCCGTGACTTATTTTGTAACTAGAAATTTGTACTTTTTGGCCCCTTTACCCATTTTACCCACCACCCTCCTCTAGCAACTAGCAATCTGTGTGTGTCTGAGCCTGGTGTTCCTTTTCTTTTGTTTAGATACCACATGTAAGTGAGATCACATGGTATTCGTCTTTCCCTTTCAGACTTACTTCACTTAGCATAAGGTCTTCAAGGTCAGTGTTGCTGCAAATGGCAAGATTTTTAATTTTTTTTAAGATTTATTTATTTATGCTGGGGTACAGGCCAGAGATGCAGGGGGTTGAGAGGATCCACCAGAGACAGAGTGAGGAACAGAACAGGCAGATTGACCGAAGTACACTGCTGAGGGGAGCAGCGGAAGACACAGGAGAGGTCTGCTGCGCCATGTGGGTTGCTCCCTGGCGGGCTGGGGATCAAACCCCTACTGCAGAGGCTGGGGACCGCTACACAGCGCGGTGGTACTTAACCCCTTGCACCACCAGGGAGGCCTGATTTTATTCTTTTTCATGGTTGAATAACATTCCATTTTTTAAAAATGTACCATTTTCTGTATTCATTCACCCATGGATGAATTTTTAAAAATCTCAATAGTTTTTGTCTCAAACTTCTCCTGACTCTTAGTTTCTAAGAATAAGACTTCATTAAAAATCCAAATTATTTCTTAATTATTGAAAGCCTCTGGTCCTTGCCACCCAAGGACTGAATTGACTTGTATGCAGTGTTATATGTTATCTTAGAGACATTTGCTCTACATCTGACCATGTCATTTTTCAGTTAATATTTTCCAGTATTCAATAGTCACAAACATAAATAATTATTGCAATTATTTGAAGGTTTGTTTTTATTTGTTTTTGCATAGAACTGGGGTGTAGGCCAGAGGTGTGTGGTGAGAGAATTCAGAGACAGAGTAGGGAGTAGAACAGGTGGATTTACTGAAATTCACTTCTAAAGGGGAGCAGCGGGCAAGAGAGGAGAGGTCATATATGCTGCGCCATATATGAGTTAACTCCCTGGCAGATCAAACTCAGGCCTTAGCAGTGATAGCGCTGAGACATAAGCCCTAGGCCACCAAAGAGGCCCTGAGGTTGTTTTTTAATTACCTAAAACTGAGAAAATAAAAAGCCCAATGCAAAATAACACAAGTCTGTTATTTTAGTAAAAAATTAAAACAGGGGCCTCCCTGGTGGCGCAAGGGGTTAAGACGCAACCTATGAAGCTACCCCAGCCACTGCAGCACGCGTTTGATCTGGATCCGGCCAGGGAGCTGACCTACATGGCACAGCAGACTCTCCTCTCTCCCCACTGCTCCCCTCAGCAGTGTATCTCAGTAGATCTGCCTGTTCTATTCCCCGCTCTATCCCTGGTGAATCCTCTCACCCTCCACACCTCTGGCCTGCACCCCAGCTCTCGTATGCATAAATAAATCAATATTTAAAAAAAAAGAGAGGGCCTCCCTGGTGGCACAGCGGTTGAGCGCTGGGTTGTGAAGCTGCCTGCAGCCTCTGCAGCGCCGGTTCAATCCCCAGCTGATGGGTGAGGGTCCCACATGGCGTGCAGACCTCTCCGGCTGCCCGCTGCTCCCCTCAGCAGTGTACCTCGTCAGTCTGCCTGTTCTGTTCTCCCCTCTGGCTCTAGTGAATTCTCTCACCCTCCCACGCTTCTGACTGTACCCAGTGCTTGTATAAATAAATCTTTTAAAAAAAATAAAGTATCTGGGCCTCCCCGGTGGCGCAGCGGCTGAGCGCTGGGTTGCGAAGCTGCCCGCAGCCTCTAAGGCGCCAGTTCGATCCCTGGCTGCTCCCCGGCCACCGGAGGAGGGTCCCACATGGCGTGCAGACCTCTCCTGCCGCCCGCTGCTCCCCTCAGCAGTGTACTTCGGTCCTTCTGCCTGCTCTGCTCCCTGCTCTGGCTCTGGTGAATTTTCTCACCCTCCCGCGCTTCTGACTGTACCCAGTGCTTGTATAAACAAACAAACAAACAAACAAATAAATAAATAAAACATGCCTCTATAAAAAAAAAAAATTCTTTAAAAAAAAAAAAAAATAAAAAATAAAGTATCATACACTATTTAAAAAAAGAAAGAGAGAGAGAGAAAGAGAGAAAGGAGGAAAGGAAGGAAGGTAGGATCAGGGAAAAGGAAAGCTTTCCTGAGCATCTATACTGTGTGAGCAACTGGATACTTTACAGATGTTATCTTGTTAAATCTCTCAAATAATGCCAGGAGGTTGGTATAATCTCAGATTTATAAATGCCAGACTGAGGCTGAGGAACATTTGTAAAATGTCTCCACCATACCACGCTGCTGACAGGATGCATTTGAAAGATATCTGGGGATGAGCGTCCCTGGTGGCCTAGGGGTTAAGTCTCACTGCTGTCACCACTAAGGCCTGAGCTTGATCCCAGGCCAGGGAGGTGACCCACAGAGGGCGCAGCAGACCTCTCCTGTCTCCCCGCTGCTCCCCTCAGCAGTTTGTTTCAGTAGATGCACCTGTTCTGTTCTCCACTCTGTCTCTGATGAATCCTCTCACCCCCGCACCTTTGGCCTGCACCCCAGTTCTCTACACATAAGTTAATAAATCAATCTTAAAAAAAAAAGAGACAAGCTATCTGGGGGTAGAATCAGTAGGAGTTCATGAGCATCCGGCTGGAGCATGAACTGGGGAGAATGGAGAAAGGACAGGCGGGCCCACACATGCACACCCACAACTCTCAATTTCTACACAACTTACTTTTCATAGTCCTTAGCCCTGTGCCTAAAAAGTTATCTTTTGATGCACATGAGAAGGGTTTATTCACCTGAATTTCTTCTTTCATCAAGTATGAGAGGCCCACCTCCTCTTCGCCCTCCCCCAGCTCCGAGCCGGCTTCTTCTTCATCCTCATCCTCATCCTCATCATCATCTTCCTCCTCTTCCTCGTAGCCTTCAGGGGGTCCAGCTTCGTCTTCATCTTCATCATCCTCATCTTCATCTCCATCTTTGAAAATTATTTTAAGGGATGAACAAAAACAGAAATAATGGCTGGGCAAATGTTTCTTGTGAGCCGGCTGATCCTTTTTATCCTCGCCCCAATCACTTCAAACTCTTACGTCAAGAGATGGGAAATATTAGGTGATTTTTTTAAGCTTTTTTCATTTATAATATTTTCTGTTAGAGAAATATGGTTCCTAAATACTGAAATTCTTCCAATACATAGAATGTCATCAAAATATTACATGCGCTAAAGTTTGTTGCACCTTGTGGATACTCAAAACCTCCTTGTTGATCTTTGCATCTTTTTATAACATTGTTTATCCATCAAATCTTTTACAGTGAAAAACTTTCCAGCCAACAGTAACAAAGTATCCCATTTCTAACAATAGCCATTCCACCATTTGATGTGTCAGTCACCCATTTATCTAAAACTGTATATTCACTATCTAATTGTGGAACATTTCCATCACTGCCCTCACCCCCAAAAAAGTTCCAGACCCATTAGCAGTCCCTCCCCAGTCTTGGCAACCATTAATCTACCTCCTATCTCCATGAATTAGCCTAGTCTGAACAGTCCATAAAAATGTAGACGCCTTTTATATCTGTCTTTTTTTCATTCTGTAAAATGTTTTCAAAGTTCACTCTCAAAGTTCACAAAATATGTATTAGTACTTCATTTTTATTGCTGTTTTTCCATTGGAAGATAGATCACGTTTTGTTTATCCATTCATGTGTTGATGAACATTGGGGTTATGTCTGCATTCTGGTGATGATGGATAATATTGCGATGAATGGTGCTTGTTTTTTAAGTACTTTTTTAAAGTTGCCACATCCACTGAGTGGTGGTTACATGAGTTTATACAGATATAAAATTTCATGGAGCTTGAAGTTATAACAATCAAATTCCCTTAAGCTAGCAGAAATGTGAAAGAAGAAATACAAGACTAGGACTCTGGTTTTTTTTAATTTGTCTTGTCTTACTAACATCTTTTTTCCCTACACCTAAATATCCAGGCCTGATCCAGTTTGCAAAGCTAGACTGGAAGTTATAATTATACACATTTACGAGTATTAAATGATTACCTTCCTCGTCCTCCTCTTCCGAGTCTGGTGCTTCGTTATCCTCCTGATCAAATCCATCTAAGTATGTGATTTGCTGCAGCAGTTCAAAAATACTTTCTCTATAATCTTCCAGGTTTGTGATCTCACAGTTAAACAAGTCAAGACTTTTCAAATTTTTCAGATTTTGCTGCGAAAGTAAAAAGTTAAAATTTACATTCAAGATTTATAATGCCATATTATTTCTTTCAATTTGTGAAATGAAATATGTACTTGAAACCAAGAGAATGATGCTTGGATTTTTAAGAGTTTTATAATGAAGGGTTATGAGATCAAGTATAGCCCCTTCTCTTAATGAGCCCTGAGCCCTGCCATGTAAACCACGAAAGTTAAGAACTGTGCTCTGTTCCCTGCGGTATCCCCAGGACCTTCGTGCCTGACTTGTGGGAGGCACTCAGTATGTTTGGCTAACCAACTCTGTGCATAAATAGGCAGTAACAAAGCTTAAATCCCCAGCCAAACTTGTCAATAACTTCAACCTCCTTCCAAACTTTTTTAAAAGTCATGGCAACACGCTTCCAGGGGATAAAGGAGGAATAACTCAAAACACAAGGCGGAAAAGGAATGGAACTTAGGAAAGGACTGGAAATCTTAAAAGCAGACATTCAACTCCTGAAGTTGATAATACAATGACTTAAGAAATTTTATCTGAATTTTACTCTAAAGGAAAAGAAAGCAGTAACCATCAGGATCACAAGAAAGAAGAAAGAAGGGTCATAAGAATGAAACCGATTAGATGAAACACAAACACATCTTAGGAAACTCAAAGAAGCAAGTCCAGAGACAAAGTCTTCCAACTTACCAGTGCTTCTACTGTGCTGAGATCTTTGATTTTGTTTCCACTCAGATTGAGGTAGGTGAGATTTGGACACTTTTCTGCCAGAACTTCCAAGCCTCCAGAAATTATATTGTCACTAAGTTCCAACTATGTAGTCAACATAGGAAGAAAACAAAATAGGACAAAGGCTTAGGGCAGAGAGCAAAAATCTTCTTTATTGTAAGATTGTTATTTGAGTAGAAGAACTGGGGTGTAAGCCAGAAGTACGGGGGGTGAGAGGATTCACCAGAGACAGAGTGGGGAGCAGATCAGGCGGATCTACTGAAATACACTGATGAGGGGAGCAGCAGGGAGACCTCAGGAGAGGTCTGCTCTGCTATGTGGGTAGCTCCCTGGCTGGGGATCAAACTCAGGGGATCGAACTCAGGCCGTCTTGGTGGTAGTGCTGAGAGTTAGCCCCAAGGCTACCAGGGAGGCCCAGATCAAAGATTTTTTTAAATATATCAAATTGGAAAAAAACAACTGTCATTGTCTCTGGCTTCAATAGACTGTCACAAATTCCCACTAAAGCCACCAAATAACATATTAGAATCCCTATATAGGGGCTTTGTTCTGATTATATATAGTTGGATTTTAGGTTTCAAAAAAAATATTAGGTTGGTGTTAATCCAAATTCACGCCATAAAGCAACTTAATTATTAAATTTAAATTTCTAAAGGCAGTATTAGAGCTGACTGCAAAATCCTACATAACCCTTTTCCCCCCCTTAATTGTTAAAAACTTGGAAACCTCTAGTTAAAAAGCAGAATGGTTGTTTCAGTTGGCCCAAAACTACGCATAATAATAGTCATTGGCTTGGAAACCATGAGGCTTTCACACCTAATGCCAACTTACCTTTCGAAGTTTAGTTAAGCTGGGCAGCCGAGCCAGTGAACTCAGTTCCACGTTAGCCATACTCAGAAACTCTAGTTTTTTAAAAGTGTCATTCAGGCCCTCAATTTCCCCATTCACACACAGGCAATTATCAAGGACTAATTCGGTCACCTGGAATAGAAAACATGAGTGAGTCTTTCGTTTGCTGTCAGTCTGTTTAGCAAAAGCCCTGGGTCCTGACACTGGAAATGTGACTGTGAAGACCACCATCCCCTTAAACCTTTTCATCCTCCCTGAAATGCAGTCTAAAATCATCATTATAAGTTAACCCTTTAAAGTGAAGCTTGGAATAAGGAATCCAGTGTGTGCCTCAAACCACTGAGGCATAAAAATCAACTGAAAAGAGCCTCTAGAGAGCCCTGGAGAGCCTCAGCCTCGAGAGAGCCTGGAGAGAGCCCTGCGGCAGCCTCTGCCCCAGGGCTGGGGTGGGGAAGGGTGAGCTGCCGGATTACTGCAGGGAGAACGAACTGTTTTACTCACCTTTTCAGTTTTAAATCCCTTATCTTTGGCTGATAAATGCCACCATAACGAAAAAATACCTTGCTACCTTTGGTGAAGAAACGTGAGAAGCTTCTTCTGAGAGTCCTGCTTTGGGATGTTACCTGTTCTAGCAACAGTGAAGCCACGCGGTACCACCCGGAACAATACATTCTTGATAAAATGTTACTTCTTGCCACCCTGCAAGCATTTTGGGAACTTCTTCCCATTCTTGAGGGGCCCGGGGGCTGCCTCCTCCCCCTGGTCAGAGTTGGAGTAACAAAACTTTCTGGTGTGGGTGGAAGTGGGTTTACCCTGCAGTGGGAGGTGAGGGGCGCTGGTTCTCCATTCCCAGGCCCAAACCCATCCGCGGTCCTGAGGGCCACGCACCACACCGAGGAAGGCCGCCCTCTGTCTGGATGGGGCTTTGGCATCACCATTTCTGCGAGCGCCGAGGCCCGGAGACCTCCTGCTGGCACGAGGGAGGCCGGGCCCGCGGGTTTGGGGCCGGGCCGGCTGCGGCTGCACGGCGTGGAGGAACACACTGCAAAGTTTGGTGTCAGAAAACCAGTTCTTCCACTGGAGTAACCACTTGGCCGCCCTGAGACTCCATTTGCTAGTTGGGAATTGGAACAAAGCATCCACCCTTCGGTGTGTCCGAAGGAGGAAAGCGAGGAACAAACGCGGGGAGCGCCCCGCACGCCGCAGAGCCGCCCCAGCAGGAGACCGTTACTGCACCGGGGAGGAAGGCGAGGCTGACCCCGGCAACATCCGGCGCTCCCCGCGCTGGCGAGGAAACTGCCCGGGACGGGGCGAGCGCACGGGCCGGGCGGGAGCGGCCGTCCCCGGCCGCCCGGCTGCAGCAGCCCCGCTCGGGTGCAGCTCGGCCGCGTCCCGGGGCGCGCGCCCCCCGCTGCAGGCCCCCAACTTCGCCCCTCGCCGGACGGCCCTGCCCGCGGCGGCTGCGGCGCCCTCCCGCCACCTGCCACCTCGGGGAGCAGGCTCGGAAGGGGGAGCTAAGGAAGCGCGGAAAGACCTGGGGCCCCGCGCTGCACCCCGCGGCCCACCCGACCCCCGCGAAAAAGATGCAGATGTGCGGACGGAGCCCCGGCGCTTCGGCGGCATCCTGGGGTGCCTCGGCGTGGCGAGATCTCGGGGCTCCCCTCCGCCGCGGCCCCGCGCCCCCGGGAGCCCCGCGGAAGAGAGGGGGCGCGGCGCGGGCGGGCGGGCGGGCCGGGAGGGGCGGCGCCGGAAGCGCCCCCCCGCGGACCCTCGGAAAGTTGAGGTGACCCCGCCTCGCGAGGCCCCTCCCCGCGTCTCTTTAACTCGGCGCCCGCGGCCGAGCGCGCCCGCAGCCCCGCGCCCCGACCCCGGCCGCCGCGGGGGACACTCGCCGCGCGCCGTCCCGGGGGACCCCAGGTCCCCGCCCGCCCCCGCCTGCCCGGGGCGCCGCTGACCCAGATTCCCGCGGCCGCGCGCCGCTCCCGGGGTGGGCTCGGCGCCCCGCGCGCCCCCCGCGCCCCGCGCACGCCGGGCCCAGCCCGCGCCCCGCGGACGAGTTGGCCGCGCCGCGGGAAAGTTGGGCGAACTTGGGCGGCGACGGGCCGGGGGGCGCCGGGGGTCGCGCCCACGCCGCCGGCCGCGCCGGGGGGAACTCGGGGCGCCGCGGCGGGGTGGCCCCGACGCCCGCCGCCCGCCCCCGGGGTTCGCGCGCCCGCCCCTCGGGGCGCCGGGGGCTCAGCCCCGCGCACACAAAAACGCCCCTGGAAACTTAAGCCCTTCGCCATTTTAAGTGGAAGAGCTTCGCGATCCGAAACTTGAAATGAAGCGGCCCCCCCGCGCCCGGGGGAGTTGATCACCGCCCTCCCCGCCAGCCGCCCGGAACCCCGAAACCAGACCCCCCGCGCGGCCGATCGCCGGGAGGGGAGGGGCTGAGTCATCTCACCTCCTCCGGGGCTCGGTTCCGCAACTCCAGGTTGATCCTCTTCTTCATCTCCATGGCCGCCTCCTGCTCGGCCGCTCGCGCGCGCCTCCCTGACCCCCGCCCGCCGGCCCGCGGCCCCCCCAGACCGCGACGTCCAAATATTCGGAAATGAATGAGGAGAAACGCACGCAGAACGCCCACCGCCGCGGCCGGGGTGGGGGAGGCGAGCAGCACGCGGAGCCCGGGGAGTTGAGACTCTAACTCGGCTGCCCCCGCCGCCTAGTCCGCACACTCGCGCGCGCACACGCACACACACTTCCACACGCGCGCACACACGCAGCCCGCAGCTCCGGCCCCTTCAATGGCTGCTCCGAGACTGAGCCTCCATGACACGGCGCCGCCAACCCCCTGGCCCACACTCCGCCCACCTCCCGAAGGGATTGGTTGAGTTTTCAGCATCGCGCTCGCCCATTGGGCGACATCCGTGTCTGTCAGCCTTTGGGGCGGACCCGAACTAGAATCGCCGTCTCCATTGGCTGCGGCCAAGCGCGCAGTTAACTCCGATAGGCCCAGGAGGGTGTCCGTCGCGGGGAGAGGATTTTGAATCCCAGCAGCCCCCGCCTTCTCTTTGTGTGCTTGGCGCGCTTTCCCCGGCGCTGGGCGTTCGGCGCCCGTCGGGCGGTTCCGTTGGTTTTCCCGTGTTTAGTGTTAAAGGGAACGGGAAAGCCGCCGCCTCGCGGGCCCCGGTCGCCAGCCCGGTCCTCCCCGCCCGGGGCAGCGCCGCCCGGGCGCACGGAGAGCGCGGGGAGCCGGCCGCGGGGCGCGGGCTTCGGGGCAGAGCCGGGGCCGGGTGGGGACGGGCCCGAGGCCGCCTCGCAGGGTCCGACGGGCGGTCGCGTGAAGCGTGTAAACGCGGCGCCTCTGAGGAAGCGCGCCCTGGAGGAACGGCCGCCGAGGCCGTTGCCGCTGAAATGAACTCTCGGGACCTCGGGGGCAGCAAGGCCCGCCCGGGGGAGGCGAACACCAGCTCGCAGCGGGCGCTGGGGCCGCGGCGCCGCCTTCTCGTCCCCTCTTGGCGCTCTCCGCGGAATCTGTGGGGGCCAGATGCGCTCATAGGTCGGTGCGCATGGGAAATAAAGGAGAGGGCAAGGGTGACTTTTAGGATTTCTGTCCTGAGAGTCCAACTTTGCTTAGTTTTTAACCTAAATTCTGTTCTTTTCATTCCCTACGCCGTCCTCAGGATAAAGACCCAGAGACGTTCCAGATGATTTGGGGGAGTGAGGGGACTAGTCCAGCCCCTCCCAGAACTGCGTGTTGGTTATTTTTCCAGCGTCTCCTCTCGGATTAGAGACCCTAGGGTTTTTGAATAGATTCCTTCCGGCTGCACCCCCACCGCACCCCCCAAGAGAAACAGCTTCACGAACAGGCGTGCATTTAAAATGTAAAGATGTGGTATTTGACATGTTAAGTACTTTAAAGGAAAACAAAATAGTGATTGTCTTCTCCGTGCTGAGTGTTTCCTTTTAATTCCCTGGAGAAAAATTTGTGAAGAAGAAAATGGGGAGAAGTTTTTGGTATAAAATGCCACCTCTGGGGGGCTATTTGGAGTTCATTAAGTTTGTTTAGTGCAGGCTAATGGAGCCAGGCTGATGTGAAAACAGCCAAAATGGACTGAGGAACAATTCAAGAAAGAACTTTTAAAGGTGGTGGGGATTGGGGTAAAACAGGGGTGCAAAGAAACCTGGAAGCACTTTCTGGCCCCAGCTTGGGAGAAGGCCTGTGTCCTACTCCCACCAGCCTCTCACTGCAGGGTCTGGAACGCTGGTGTTAACTTCAGAGAGAGTTATGGAAGGGCATTCAGATTTAGGAGTCATCCACAAAGAATGGTAGGTAGGGCCTTAAAGAAATAAGATGTCGGACCTCCCCTGGTGGCACAGGCAGTTGAGCGCCATGCTGTGAAGCTGTCTGCAGTCTCTGCAGCACCATTTCGATCCCCGGCCTCCAGGTGAGGATCCCGCAGGGAGCTGCAGACCTCTCCTGTTGTGCCCACTGCTCCCCTCAGCAGTCTATTTCATCAGTCTGCCTGTTCTGATACCCACTCGTCTCTGGTGAATCCTCTCACCCTCCCACACATCTGGCTTGTACCCTGTTCTTGTATAAATAAAAAAATAAATTTAAAAAAAAAAGAAATAAGATGTCCACAAAGAATGTATAGAATAAGGCTGTAGGGCCTCCCTGGTGGCGCAGGGGTTAAAGTCTCAGCGCTATGAAGCTATGGCCAGCTAGACACTTAGGCATGACCCACATGGTGCAGCAGACCTCTCCTGTCTCCCCACTGCTCCCCTCAGCAGTGTGTTTCTGTAGATCAGACTGTTCTGCTCCCCACTGTCTCTGGGGAATCCTCTCTCTCACACACACACACACACACACACACCCGCCTCCACCCCAGTTCTTGTCTGCATAAATAAAAATAAAACCTTAAAAAGTATATATATATATATATATATATATTAGAATAAGACTGTTGGCAAAGGAGAACAACACGTGGTTGAGGGAAGCGAAAACAGGATTCTCTACCAAGAGTACAAGAAACTGAGCAGCAAGTAGAAAAGGAGGTAAATTTGAAAAAAAAAAAAAAATGCAAGGAAGACAGTTTCAAGGAAGATAGTGATCGTCCAGTTAAATGGTGGGGCTTTTGTATCGAGGAGGTGGAAGGGATGGGCGTGTTTGCTGGAAAATAATGGCTGTGAGCAAAGGCCTGAGGGCATTTCTACCACTGGGTGGTAACTGCACGTAGAAAGCAGCAGGATCCATCAAAGTGGGCCTCCCCGTCCCCCACACCCGTTGTCCCCAACCTCTTATCATCTCAAAAGAGGGTGGCCCCCGGGGAAAGGGGAGGGTCCAGGTTCCCTGCCCCACCCCAAGCAAGGGTAGAGCTGAGCTGGGAGGAGAAGCTGGAGGAGGCTAGAGACTGAGAGTGTTAGGGGGAAAGGATGTCCTGCGCTAATCCCACGCAGGCTGTGTGGACGCCACCCCCACTCCAGACCAAAGCCATCAGGACATTGGGAAAGACAAATCCCGTCACCACCCAAGGGAGGGTGGCTGGGAGCTGAGGGTGGAGTTGGGCAGCCAGGTTGGGTATAAAAACCAAACACGTGGGCCTTGGGGGGCTCGCTATCGCTTGCCTCCCGGCTTCACCGCTCCCGGCTTGCGGCAGCTCTCAGAGCGCCAGTTTGGGATTCCTGATCAGCGGATCGGGTAGGACGCATTTAAAACTTTGTCTCCCACTTTTCCCCCTGAGCTGTCCATTTCCTCATTTCCCCTGCCCTTGTCCATAAACCTTTTATGAACCTTTCGCGTGTGCCTGCAGTGGAGCATTGATAAGTCCTTTCAAGCGCGGGGGTGAGGACCCACAGTCAGGCACCCCATTTTGTATCGGGGCTGCCCAATAACAAGAGGAAGAAGGAAGGGAAAGATGGGGAGACCTGGAGGAGGCAAGGGGGGCAGGACACGTGAAGAAGCTTCTCTTGCTTCTCAGCCTGGGACTGGCACCGGGGCCTGGGGGACAGAGGGGACACTTGAAACCGACATGGGTGAGAGACCCGCGGGAAGTTAACAACGGCAGCCTTTATCTTGATTTTGATTTTGCTCTTTTTTAAAAAGATTTATTTTTATTTATACTAATTTTGCTCTTTTCCTTCCAGATTTGTCTGGTCCCTTCTGCCCCTTTCCTCTGGGTCCCCACCAGAAGGTGCCTTGGGTTTGTCGCAGGCTTTCGGGCCTCAGCTATTCTGCTTTGGCCAACCCTGTTTGCCTGGGCATTTACCCATGAGGGGACAGGTAATTTTGGGTATCTGATTTGGAAACTCTATTCTTTGTCTTTCTCTTCTCTTTATTGAACACTAATTGTATTAAAGTTCTATCCACTAAAGGCCTTATGCACTAGAGTATGTTTTGTCTTGAGGCAGCAGATGGCAGAACCTATTTAGAGCAGGCAGGTTTAGGGATCCCGGGGTGCCCCTCACCCAGCCCTGAAACACTCTCAACTGTATAGCCACAATACTTGAAGGGCCTCCCCGGTGGCGCAGCGTTTGCGAAGCTGCCCGTGGCCTCTGCGGCGCCGGTTCGCTCCCCGGCCACCGGAGGAGGGTCCCACATGGCACGCAGAACTCTTCTGCCACCCGCTGCTCCCCTCAGCAGTGTACTTTGGGCCTTCTGCCTGCTCTGCTCCCCGCTCTGGCTCTGGTGAATTCTCTCACCCTCCCGCCCCCGCTCTGATTCTGGTGAATTCTCTCACCCTCCCGCGCTTCTGACTGTACCCAGTGCATGTATAAAAACAAACAAACAAATAAATAAATAAAACATGCCTCTATAAAAAAAATATATATATTAAAAAAAAATACTTGAAACTTAACTCTTTCCAGTCTTAACCAAGAAGCCAGGATAAACAAGATGCTGGGAGAGTAAAGACCCCGCTAGAGGTGGTGCCCAGGAAAAAAGACCCCTGGCAGGGGATGAATGCAGAAGGGCATCACCAGGCATGTAACTGGGCGTGTGGAGCTACGGAAAGGGAGAGGGGATGGAATAGTCAGTGTTACAGAGCAGGGAGAGGGGCAGCCCAAACCCCGCAAACCTGCCTATTCTAAATGGGTTCTGCCATCCGCAGCATCAACACAAAACATATAAGACTTTCATAGGAAGGAACTTTACTACAACTAGGAAACAACACAGGAAAGGCAAAGAATATAGTTTCTAAATCAAGCACTCAATGTTACCCGTCCCTTCATGGGTAAAAGTCCACCCAAGCAGGATTGGCCCAGAGCAAGGCCCCAAAGCCTGCCACAAGTCTAAAGCACCTTCCAGTGGGGACCCACAGAAAAGGATCAGAAACCACCAGACAAGTCTGGAAGGAAAAGAGCAAAATCAAGACAAAAACCACCATGGTCACCTCCCCACAGGTCTCTCACCCACATCTGTGTCACCCAGTCCACGACCAAAAGGCAAGTGCAGTTTCTTCACATGTCTCTCCATTCCATGTGCTTCTTCCAGGTCTCCTCCTGGCTCTCCATCCTGCTTCCTTCCTTCTCAGTCTCCTCAGCTGCTGCTTCTCTCTCTGCTCAGTTCCACCCTCCTTTTAGGTAGGGCAGGAAACCTGGAACCTCCCCCATTCCTGGGGACCACCCTGTTACATCAGGAGAAAAGCCGAACTCACGAACATGCTGGAAGCTGGAGGAAGGGAGCAGGATTTAAATGGTGGAATGAAGAGTGAAGTTCAGTAACCAGGAGGTAGATGGAAGCAAAGACGCAAGGTGTGAAATGAGAGCAGGTGTTTCAGAACATTCCTTGGATCCACCAATGGAACCTGGAT